TAATCAGTCGCCTAGATAGCCAAAGTAAGTTCCAGATGTTTACACTATTTTCCGGCCGCCGTATTGGTGTACCACGGAGGTACACCAACATGGCGTTTTTTCATACTGGGCTCTGTAAATATCGGCGAAACATTTCGATGAATATCTGAGGTTTGGGGAAACCCACAGGCCAAAAAACTTGGAGAAGTGGCTTATTTAGTTATCTTCTATAGCATCATAATTTCATAGCTTTTTCCACTGGATGGTTTTCGATTTATTTTTTTATTGCGTGACAGTGAAAACGATCTATACTAAAGGACGTTAAGCGTTTTCGCAACGGGTCGGTCTGCAAGCCTTACGAGAGATCAATTTACCAGCGAACATTTTGAATGAATTTATCAAGAATCTTGTCAGACAGTTATACCAAAGGAGTCATCAACAGGGGCTATCAACTCTTCAACTTGGTAAAAAGCATCTTCACAAGTGTCATCGTATTTTTAGACGTGATCGTGAACCAAATAGAATCCCAGCACAAACTCAAGAACTTCTGAGCAACAAGAGCAGAAAGGTTAGAGAATTTGTTTACCAATGTATCTGTTCGAGTACACCTAAGTAAAACGCTCTGAGAAACTTCGTTAAGTATAATAAAGATAAAATCTCGAACTAAACGATATTTTCTCATTATTTTCTTGTAACAGAGCTATGTGTCTTTACAAGAGTGAAACCCATGTAGCGAATTATTGTACATTTAACCTGAAAGAAGCTAATATATGTTGACCACAGCAAAACAATTCTTGGCTTGCACTGTCACGCAATCGTGACACAATAAAAAATTATTTGAAAACCATTTAGTGGACAAAATCAAGAAATTGTGATGTTATAGGAGGTTAATAAATATGATACTTCTCCAGTTTTTAAGTCTGTGTTTTTTGCCAAGCTCAGATATTCGTCGAAATATTTTGCACAAATTTACAGAGACCAGTATGGAGCCGCCATGTTGGTGTACCTCCGTGGTACGCCAACATTGCGGCCGGTAAATAGTGTAAGCATCTGGAACTTACTTTGGCTATCTAGGCGACTGATTATCTGTACGGAATAAACAAGCATTTACATAAGCACTTTTCTTAATGCTTTAACTTCTGAATGGGCTAAAAATCACGAGGTAAGTATATGTTTTTTGACAAACGCGTTCGTAGGTCTATGTCACGCACCGCCATAACTCTAAAATTCAAAATGTCTCGCTTGCTTGAGAAACACAAATAACAACGACAAAGGCTAAGGAAAATAGACTGAAACGTTTATAGGCTGATGTAAAGACCTTGACTCATTTCTTGCCTTTAAGACCTGCAAACGAGTAATGAGGTATTACTCGATTCCAAGAAATGCAATCAAAAGCAGAATAGCTTGAGCACATCCTCGGATTCGATTGAATTTCGTACGACTTCAAATGCAGAACATTTAGCTCAATTGCAATATAGCTAGTGCCTCTCAGTATAACGACTGCCTGGGTACACGCAGCAAAGCGTCTAGTTATGAAGAGGACTATGACGTTGAGCAGTTTTTACCCCACGACAAAAGTTTAGGTGATCAGGAGATGGTGGTCACTGGCTGGGAAAAGGAGAATACTTCTAGTGACTGCGATGGCAGTGAAGATGACAGTTGTAATCAAGAAGTTGACAACAACAGTTGTATTAAAGAAAAAAAGGAATGTAAGCAGGTATCCGACAAAAGCCGTGTATCTGGAGAAAAGGATGAGTCTTGTCAGGCGTCTTCTACACGCAGGAAAAAGCGTCTTTGTCCTTTAAAAGGATGCAAGTCTCAGGTAATTGATCTTCCTCGCCATTCGAGAGACGTTCACATGTGGTCTCGAGAAAAAGCTCAAAAAGCGACATCCAAGTTTGGAATGCGGAAAAGTTTTTCCTCTGAGGTCGTGGAAAAAGGAAAAGAAAACAAGTGGAAGGATTATCATCACCACCGCAAGTGCCCTGTTCAAGGTTGTTACTCAATTGTAAAGCGATTATCTTACCATTTACAACAAGTACACAAGGAAATACGGAAAGGCTCGTCGGAGGACAAAGCTCTGTTGAAGGAAGCTCGGTCTATAAAACCTTGGACATCATCATCACGCAGCAAACGTGGTGACAATAGCAGCAAAGCCAGAATAAAAGTCAAAGAGGACGGCAGAAAAGGTAGCAACACACAAGGGACAGGGAGTAGCAGTGATGTTGGTAGTTATGAAGACAAATCTGACAGTGAATGGGAAGGTGAGGCTGAAAGCACCTCCAGTGTTGAAACAAGCAATGACATTTTCGGAACGTTTGCAACCTGGCTGCACACAGCCGATGGTGGAAGAAAACCAGAGAAAATGTCTAAGCATTATGCTTCACAGATTAACAAGATGCTCGCTGTTATTGACCCGAGCAAAGATTTGGCGTCACTATTTGACAGGAAACTCATTCGTGACACATTCTTAAAAAATCATGCCGAAAATGCCTACAAACCCGACCTGTTAAGTTTAAGATATTTCTGCAGCTTTGTCTTAACAGAAAGTCCTGATGCAGTGAACGTGAACGAGGCCAGTGTTCACTTAATTGACGAGAAGGCTCGCTTATGGTCGTCATCTTACAAGAAAGAGAGTCAATGCAGGCATCTAGAGAAACAGGATGAAGATCTTTCTAACCTGATAACACCCGAAATGGTGGCAGAATATGAGCAGAGAGAATCAACTCGAAAGGTAGTCTCCCTCATCAGTCAGCTTAGTGGGGCTCACTGCCTTCAAATTAACCAAGTAGAGTACACGCTAATTAGAGATTTCATCCTAACTTAAATAACAATGGCAAATGCCCATAGATCAGGTGTGCTAGCCAACATGACTATGGGCGAGTTCAAGAAAGCAAAGCTAAGCCAAGGAAGTGTCGTCATTACTGTGAAGAAGGACAAGACTGCAGACATTCATGGCCCTGCTCCAGTGGTGCTGTCACCTACGCTGTTTGGTTACCTGAAAGTGTATGTTGCTGAAGTTAGAAGTGTAGTAAGTCAGACCAAAGATAATGACGATGCTGTGATATTGTCGTTGAACGGGGCAAGGCTTGCATCAGGCCAGATATCAACCGCAATAAATGCTTCTTGAAAAAAAGCGGGCTTACAGGGTCACATCAGTTCCACCCTATTCAGAAAGTGGGTAGTTGAGCAAAACTAAGATTTAGTTAATCTAGTTTATTAAAGAGTTACTTTAGATTTCAATATCTCTTCCAACTGTACCGTTCTTTGTTGAATTCGTTTCAGTGATTACACTGCAATTCGCATCAGCGTAACCGTTAAAAACTATGTAGTAATTCCCTCAACAAAATATATCGTTGTGCCTGTAGCGCGCGCGTCTTAATATAATTTTTTTGGGGAGGGGGCGGGGCGGGGGGAGGGCCTTCCTAGCAGTCCCCAAAGGTAAAGATAAATTTTCCGCAACTTCATTGCATAATGCATCAACAACACCCACGTTATTTGGACAAGATGCAATCAACAACAGCAAACAAACGTGTTTACGAGATAATAACACCTGGTGCAAGGGTTTAACACTTAAAAGGGTAGTGCAAAGTACAACACACTTTCCAGAAACATAATTTATTTCTTTATTGACCATTTTGAAAAGTATACAACATCGGACTCCTTTCTGGACTTGCCAAAGACACTATACACAGACAGATTAATTGTTAAACGGTCCTTTTTTCTGTTTCGGCTAAAGAGTGTTCTATGCAGCGTTGTAACAGCTACCTATGCAACGTTGCAAAGGTGCCCTAATGTGATGGAAGTGCCCTATGTTAGAATGTTGCAAAGGCGCCCTATTCAAAGTTGCAAAGGTGCCCTAATGTGGCTTAAATGCCCTATATTACGTGATGTAAGTGCCCTATGCTACAAAAGTGCCCTTTTGAACGTGACACAAGTGCCCTAACGCTACATAAGTGCCCTATTATACGTGATATAAGTGTCCTTCAAGAGAGAGAGAGAGAGAGAGAGAGAGAGAGAGAGAGAGAGAGAGAGAGAGAGAGAG